CTTCAAATCTCAGGTTTCAAGTCTTGTAAGTATAAACCAGAGAGTGAAATTTCCGAGTCCCATAGTAATGCTTAATTTTTTGAGGAACCACCAAACTGTTTTCCCCAACAGCTGCACCATTTTATATTTCTGCCAGCAGCAGACTACGGCAAATGAGCTGCTTTTGTAATAAAAATTCTAGGACCACTTCTCCAAAACTGATTACTGATCATAATTACAATAGAATTGTTAAACTCCATCTATGCTAATGAACGACTAAGCTATGTTCACATCCACAGTCTTTCAGTGAAGAAACTGCCCAGTTGATATATTTTTAAATTTACCTTTAAGTTGGTAGTTTCTGATCTTTCACACACTTAAGAACTTTAACACCAGCTCACTGAGCCCCACCTCGGGCATCTTGATTGGAAAGGAAGGTAATAATCTGCATTGTTCCAAGGCATATTTCAGGAGCACACGGCTTTTTAACAGTACTTTCCATTTTCCAGGTTCTTGGGCTGTTCGTACTTACCTACTGACCAAAAAGTTGGTAGTTCAATGCCACCTGTGAAAGAAAGGGGTGATGCAATCGATCTCTTGTCACTGCACACTAAGAAAGAGAGCAGTTCCACCCTGAAGTGTATGAGTTTGCTAAGAACTGGCATCGACACTATCGCCATGGCGTTGTTTCTGGTTTTCTCAAGGTAGATAATGAATAAGGAAGACTGAAGAAGAATTGATGCCTTTGAATTATGGTGTTAGTGAAGAGTATAGAATATACATGGACTGGCAAAAGAATAAACAAATCTGCCTGGGAGGAAGTGCTCCTTTGAGGCAAAGATGGTGAAACTGCATCGCACATACTTTGGGGATGCTGTCAGGAGGGGCAGTCCTTAGACAAAGACCTGGAAAGGTGGAGGCCAGTCAAAAGGAGGAAGACCCTCAACAAGATGGAACGACACAGTGACTGTAACACTGAGCTTGAGCCTATCAGACATCGTGAGGATGGTGCCGGATAGACAAGGTTCAGCTCTGTTGCAGGATCACTGGGCGTCAGTCTACTCAACATCAATTAACAACACTGGACGCAGAAAGAACATTCGGCCAATATTTCCTTGATGTTGAGGGAGAAATCAACGGAAAAGTAATATAAACTATCCCCTTCCAAAAGACCATCAAAGATGGTAAGAAATGAAGACTCTGCCTATAAACATAGCAAGACAGATGACATACGGTCCACAAATTTAAATGACAGAAAATCTTAGGCACCAGGGCTTGCTTTTGTTTTAGCTATCAGTCCCAAGCGACTCGACGGCACATAACAACAACAACAACAACACAGACCTCTGAGTCCTACTCATAGATTTCTCAGCATCAAATGGAATTTCTGATACCATGGATTTTAGAAGCACCATTCAATAGTCCAGAATTCATTCTACCTTTTGAATGAGACATTATGTAAGAGGTTAAACTGTTCTTGGTTCAGATGAATAAAAGCAAGCCTAGGACCTACTACTGTAGAGCGTTCAATGGGTGTAGGAGCGGAGTGTTCAAGCTGGTTAACCACATGTCTTAGTTTTGTGGTGCTGCTCTAACAGAGATAGCACAGGTGGATGGCATTAACTAATTTATTCTCTCACCGTTTAAGAGGCTCATTGCCAACAAGCTGGAAGCAACCCACAGCTGACCCACCAGTGGGTTTCCAGAGGCTGTAAAGCACATGGGGGGGGGGGAAGACTGTCTATGTTTCTCCTATGGAGCAGCTGGTGGATTCCAATCACCTGACAGGCACTGCTTCTGGGCTAGCAGTAACACCTCTCCATAGGCCAGGCCACCAGAGCATCCAGATACAGTGTCCACAGGATGGTGCTGTTTCTCCACTGATTCCAGAGGACAGTATTTTCTTCATCTGGAGGATCCCCATTTCTTGAAGATCTCTATCTTAGTCGATCCCTGTATGGAGGAGATTCCCAGCACAGAGGCTGGGGCCAATACACACACTCCACCTCTAGCATTCTTTCTTGGTGCTACCTAGGTCCTCCCTTCTTCCTCACTTTCCTTCTCTTTTATCTCTTCTGAGATAAAAAGTATTATTACAAGCCACACCCTCCCTCCTAGAGGATACCTCCCTCCAATGAGGGCAGAAATGAGAATAAAGGGTGTGGTCTTCCATTGTTTCCCTGTCGTCAGACCAGGTGACTGCTTCCACATGACATCATTACATACATGTCCTTTGTTGTTGTTTGGTACCATCGAGTTGGGACTGACTCAAAGCTGACGCTCCAGCAGGTTTTCAGAGGCAATAAATTACACAGTAGGAAACTGACCATTTTTCTCCTGAGGAGCAGCTGGTGGTTTTGAATGGGCTGCCTTATATGTTCTTTGGGGGGGGGGGAGATATATTTCAAGACACTACACAAGACTAAGTGGTCATTTCAAAGAGCACGTGAGGAAGCTGAGGGAAAAAGGCCAGCCCCTGAGCCAAATGCAAAGGCAGCATTTCCTCTGACAGGTTTCCAAGTTCCTAAAAGGATGCAGAGTTTGGCATTCTCCCAGCTGCCTTCTCTATGAAAACCTGTTCCATTTCCACCTCATTTGCAAAATGCTGGCTGCAATCCCTCCTAGTGGGAGATACTTGGAGCAGATGGAGGTCAAGGGGAATTCTACATGGAAGTGTACCTATGAGGTTTGGTTTTTTTCACTGAATTCGGAAGCCTAGAAAAATGAGAGATAAAGAGCATCTCTGAACAAATCGACTCACTGCTGCCCCCTTGTTGGGGAGGGCATTGTTGCCATCCTTCTGGTTTCAAGATTTGCTTAGAGACACTGTGGACCAGAGGAATGGCCAGAGGAATGACCTCTACAGCCCTTACCCCATATGTAAAATGAACACCAGCTTACAATAACGATTTTTCACTCAAAAAAAAAATTGAGGCTGAGGAACCACCTGGTGTAATCATAAAACGCAGAATTAAATAAAATAAAATTTAACCTCATGGCCATTTCTCCATGCCATACTCTAATTTTAAATGAAATTGCTTAAAATTATTCAAGAAAATGGAAAAACAAGAGCCAGAGCAGAAAGAAAAATCTTTATAGCAATGTAGATAGGGCAAAGGTGAGTCATCTTGATTTATTTTGAAAAGACTGTGCTACCCAAGCTACATCTTTGAAAAATGGAAAATAAAATAAAATGTCAATTGGGCAGCAGTAGCTTTCAGAAGCTCTTCATAATACAACTCACTGCCGTTTACACTGAGAACATGTCTTTTCTGATGAGAGACAGACCTACCACCAGAACTGGAAATTAAGTATCTACTGAACCTATAAAGAGGTTCACTCAGGATGAAACTGCAGAAACCCCTGGTGAGAAGGGGCCCAGGAAGATTTCTTCCAAAGCCATACTGTCTAATCTGAGTCTTCAAGGAAATTAGTTAAGGCATCTAAATTCAACCCACTGCCGTCAAGCTGATTCAGACTCAAGGTACAGCTCTACAACTGGGCAGAAGTGTCTCTCAGGGGTTTCCAGGCTGTAATCTTTATGGGAGCAGATCACCAGGTCTTCTCTTCTTTGATGCAGCTGATAGATTTGAACTGTTAACCTTTCAGTTAGCAACCCAGTACTTAACTACTGGGTCACCAGGGCTCCTTTGCGTCAAGATTCCAGCCTTGGAAATACTAAGGGACAGTTGTGTCTGTCCTACACGAATGATGTGAGTCAAAGTTGACTTGACCGCAATGGGTCTGGTTTCTTTTTATTTTAAATGAGGGTAGAGAGAGTACTCACAGCCCAGTGGTTAAGCCATGAGCTACTAACTAAAATGTTGGCAGTTGGAACCTATTTTTCTATAGCAGAATAATATCCCAGTCTGCTTCCACAAAGATTATAGCTTAGGATATCCACCTAACAGTTCTAGTCTGTCCTACAGATTTTTAAGAGTCCTAATCAACTGGAGGGAACACATCAACATTAAAGAAAATCCATTTTTGCAAAACCCCAAAGAGGTCTGAAGCAAGAGACCACCTCCCCCCTCTAGCAATATCCCTCTTCTCCCACTGCAAAATCCTTTCCAGTAAAGTCTGTCCTTCCTAAATTTGGATTTGTTTATATGTTCATATCTGACACTAATGTTAAGTGTCCCTGGGCCAGTACTCACAATTACTCACTAACAAAAGAACCGAAGGCTATTAGTGGGTCCTGGGCCAGCCTCACAACTGTTATGTTTGAGCACATTACTACAGGCACTGTGAAAATCCATTTCCTCTACCACCTTCCTCTTGTATTCCACACCCCCTAGCAAAGGAGTCCAGGAGGTGCACTGGGCTGGGCTGCTAATCACCAAGAAAGAGAAGGGGCAGTTCGCTTCCCTAAAGATCTGACAGTTTACCAGCCTCTTACAGGTTTATAGGTTCTCTGCTGTTGCTAGATGTCCTCAAGTCAGAAGCACCTCATAGCTGAGCCCCTAGCCAAGTTTTCAGAGGCAATAAATCACACAGGAGGAGTTTGCCCAACTCTCCTCACAGAGTGTGGTTGGTGGAGTCGAACAGTCTGCCTTTAGGCTGGCAGCACATTTTTACCACTAAGCTACCAGAGCTCCCTATAGTTCTCTAGAATTAACTGGGTAACAGCAGGTTGGGGTTTTGGGCTTCTAGTTTACAAAGCATGATGTCCTTTCACAAGACAAATTCTCAGACCCCAACCTTGCCTTTCTAAATCACAGACTCTGAGACTGTGTCCAGGAATCGGTTTCTTAAATTCTCCAGATACAGTTTGAAAAGCATCAATTTGGGGCAAGTTGAGCACATTTAGCACTTAACACTCCACCCGGCCTCTTCCGTATTTCACTGTCAGCAACTTACGTGAAAGCCGTTTCTGAAGCTTACTTTGGAATGCTTCCTAGTGTCCCCACAGACCACTTATCCCATAAAGTCACATCCCAATGACAAGCAAAGCCACCTAACACTCGTCGGCCCTCCTAACCTCCAGTGAAGCTGAGTAAGCGCGAACCTCACGTACTTACATCTCCATCCACTGGCCTCGGGTCATCACAGTCCCTGGTGGGGCTAATGTCCTGGCGCATGACCCAGATGGGCTCTTTGGGCTCGTCGGGAGTGTAAGGCGAACGGATGGTCCTGGTTTTCACCTCCTCGATGGCCTCCTTGATGTCCTTGATGGCCAGCGAGATGGCATCCCTCTTCTCCTTGCTGTACCGCTGCACCGCCTCGCCGCTGCCTGCAGTGCCCACCGCCCGCGGCGCCTGCATCCCAGGGCTGTCGGGGCGGCCCCCGCCCGGGGTAGGGGCACGCTCCAGGTCCTGCTCGGCCTCGGGCATGTCCTCGGCCGCCTTATCGAGGCTCTGCGAGCTCATGCTCTGCTTCACCTCGGCCACGATCTGGTCGATGTCCTCTTCCTGCTCGTAGCTGTCCATGCGCGGGTAGGGCGCGAACTCGGCCTCCTTCTCGGGGCTGTCGGACTCTCCATCAGAGCGCTCATCGTAGTGATGCAGCCGTGCGCCCAGGGCCTCCTGACGGTAGGCAGCCGCCTCGTCCCCCTCCTGCTCGTACAGCCGCAGGCCTTCACGGGCCTCCAGCTCGGGCGCGTCCCCGATCTCCTCGTACACGTGCTCCTGGAGGCCGCCATAGTCGGCGTAGGGCTCAGCGTAGGGCTCGTCCTCACTGCGGTGGAAGAGCCGGTGCGTGTAGACGTAGCCCGAGTAGGCGGCATTCATGGCCTCCTCATGCTCCAGCGAGTGGAAGTGCAGGTGGTTGGGCAGCGCGCGGCGGTGTGCGGCCTCAGCGTGCTCAGCCTCCGCCTGCTCCGTGTACTCCTCGGCCTCGGGCCGGTACTGAACCGCATACGCGCTCTCGTCCTCTGGATCCTGCGCACGCTCCGCGTCGTAGCCATCGCGGGCCACGGCAATCACGTCGCCCTCAGCCGTGTCCGTGTGGTTGTGGAAGCCGCTCTCTGTGCTGGCCGAGCGAGCCAGGCACTCCCCGCGCTCCTCCTCCTCCTGCTGCCCCAGCTGGACGCGGGGGTCCTCGAAGGCGCGCCCCCGCGGGTGGCCGCCTGCATGTTGCTGCTGCTGTTCCTCCTCCACCTCGGGGCGCTCGAGGTCGGCCTCCACCGACTCGTTCACCTCCCCACCTGCGGCCTCTTCGGTCACCTCCACCTCCGCGGGCCCCTCCAAGTGGTTCATGGTGGGCGTAGGTGACCACTCCGAGAGAGGCTGAGCTGGCTCACTGCGCGCTCATTTTGATCCGCTGATCTGGAAAAAGAAGGGGAGAGGGGCCGTTAGGTGGGGTCAGCTTGTCATGAATCGAGTTTCAGGGTAACCATAAAAACAGCTGCTTATTGTTTCCTTCTGGATCTGGGTCAATTAAAAAATTATAGCGGATTTGAGCTCAGCCTGACAGCACATAGTTCATTTTCGTCGTCACACGCATCATAATTTGTAATTACATACCCACTTGTTTAATTGCTATTGGCTTTACTCTTCTCCACCCTTCAGACAGACTCTAATGAGCACGGCACTCAGGTTCCAGTTGTATGCATGTGAATAAAGAGCACTCTAAAACAAATGGGCCAATTGACACATTTTCCATCTGCTGAAAAAGAAATTTGTCTAATTTAAACGCAAAACCTAAGCACTTTACAAACAAGGCTTTAAATCAATTTCCAGGGATAAAAAATAATGCCAGGATGTTTTGAAACCATCGCTGTTGTCAATACAAATAAGCGGCCATTCGGAGCGGCTGCCGTCACTGGCTCCTGTCCTGGCTCTCATACTTCCGGCTGTTGTCGTGTGCTCCTCGCACTGGAGGAGATTGCCCATCCTTCTGCAGAGCAACAGGTGGATTCAAGTCATGTGCCTCTGGGATTGCAACACAGCTTCTTACCACTAGGCTGCCAGAGCTCGTTAAGAAGTGTAATGTGTGTGTGCTGTTTGTTCCTGAGTCAGAACAGACCCAAAGCTGACCCTCCATTGGGTTTTCAGAGACAAAAAATTGCATGGGAGATCATCCAGCCTTCTCCTAAAGAGCATCTGGCAGATCCAGCCCGTGTTCCTTTGGGATGGCAGTACAGCTTCATATGTGGGGGAAATCAGAAAGAATGTTAAAAACAACAACAAAAAACTGGGCAAAACCTCTGTGATTTCAAGACACCTGTAGTAAATGAGTCAACACTGCATGCAAACTCTTCTCATTGTGTTCTTTGGAGAGCCCATTTCAGAAATGGGAACCAGAAGCAATGTGATAATGTAATAGTACAAAGCTGCAGGAAGACCAGGGACATCTACTTATTCTCTAATGCTGTCATGCAGTTCCATTCTACTCAACTCCCCAACACAGTCTCTGCAATTTCTTTCAGTTACTCTGATGGTCTGAGTAGTGAGGGAGGCCATGTTGGAACTACCAATCTACTGGCAAGGAGAAATCTCATCTTTCTCCCATTTCTTGATAGATTCACCTTAGACGACACCCCTTGGAAGAGAATGGTCATGTTTTATCTGAGCTAAATAAACCCATTTGCTACAAGTTGGACCCTGCAGTCCTTAAAAAAGTGTGGCTTCCTTTCACCATTCCCTGAGAATAGGAACTATGGATTAAGTGTAGCAAAATTTTCCAGAAAGTAAACTGAATCTTCTCTTCGACCTTAATAAGGAGTTCATGTCTGAATAAGTAGAGAGAAAAGTGGGTGTTGAGGGTCAACTGAGTAATGACAATCAGAGCATCACTAAAAGTAGAAAATAAATTTTTAAGTCAGGTTGTTGTAAACATCCATGTGTGTTCTTTCTAACAGCCCTTTGGAAAAGACAGCAGAGAAAAAAACACATTGAAGGCACACTTGTGGCATAGTCCATACCGAGCTCAGCTGCTGGCTGAAAGCCCATGCCTCTCTGGAAGTTTGAATCCACCTGATGCTCCAAAGGAGAAAGATGGATGATTTCTATTCATGTGATTTACAGCCTCGGAAAACCTGCTGAAGGGTCAGTTGGCTCCAATTCAACAACAATTACTTGACTTGTTTCCTTCATGTACAGACCTAAATTTGATGGACAAACAGCAAGCATCCATAGAAGGAGATACTAAATACTTCCCTGGGTTCCGTTATCCTGCAGTGTTTATGCTGTGTGTGCTCAGTGCCAAATTGACTGCTATGGGTCACTTCCAACTCCTAGTGGCCTGGTGTGTGCCACAGTACAACTGTGCTCCATGGGGTTTTTCAGTGGTTGCTTTTCAAAAGTAAATCAGCTGGTCTCTCTTCAAGCCACCTCTAGGTAGACTCAAACCTCCAATCTTTCAGTTAACTGCCAACTACATGACCATCCAAACCATCCAAGAATTCCTGCGGTCACTGTTAGGAACATAGAAGCAATCATCCTACAAAATACTGGAATGCCCAATGATTCAGCATAATGAGATGCAGAAAGGCCCAAAACAACATCAGATAATATAGTTCTTTCCTGTGTAATTTGATGAAAAGCAGTTGTCAGGAGGCCCAGTCCTTGGAACCATGCTGGGGAAGGTGGGAGGTCAGAGAAAGATAGGAAGATCCTGACAAGGTGGATTGAGACAGTGACTATAATGAGAACATCAGAGGTGGTGAGGCTGGCACAGAATAGGGCAAGGTTTAGATCTTTTGTTCATAGGGTCACTATGATTTGTAGTCAACTTAACGACACCTAACAACAACAACAACAACAACATAAATGGACAATAGATTTTAGTTTGTCCTGGGTTAAGAGAGAACCTGGCCTTTGAATGGTGCCCAGAATTCCAAGCATGTACCATGAATAATGATGACAGAAGGAGAACTGACGCCTTTGAGTTGTGGTGTTAAGAAGAGTGCTGGATTTTCTATGAACTGCCGAAAGAACAAACAGATGGGGCTTTGGAAAAGGTGTAGCCAGTGTACTCCTCAAAGGTCAGGACAGTGCACGTTCATCTCACATATCTTGGGCATGTTGTTAGCAGGGGGTTAGTCCTTGAAAGATGACATCGTGCTTGGAAAGGTGGAGGGTGAGTGAGGGATTGGAGGACCCTCAGTGAGGCTGGATGTAACTTTTCTAGTATATCAGAGATGGTCAGGATGGCACAGGATAGGGCAGGCCTCAGATCCATTTTTCATAGGGTCTCTATGAATCATAGTCAACTCAATGGCACTTAACAACAACAACCTATATTAAATGATGGTAAAGAAAAGTTACAAGAAACCAGGCCTTTTTGGGGAAATGCTATTAAAGTAATGTGGTTTGGTACAATGAAACTTTCTCTTAATACATACATTCTCCTCATAGCTGCATTGCAAAGTCCCAGGGGAACATTTATGTAAAATGTTTGTTTTTCATTCACTATCAAGATTCTAGTAAGATAATTTGGGTTGTGGAATTGATGACATATTAGTTGTTGATCAAAACCAGACATTAAGAAATTTTCTGAGGACCAAAGCAACTAGCAACTTGGAAGGAAGGGTTGGTGGGTGATCAAGTCCTCCCGTAGCACACTGGAGGACTCTTCTGATGCCAAGGAAGCTATGCAGTAGCACTTTTAGAAAAGACTGAGGTTGTTTTCAAAGAATCCTAGGATTTTGAGGAAAGGTCTAATCCACAGCCATTTTGAAAAATAATTTGGTGAGATCAGTTGGTACATACATTTCAATCTCAGAGATTGTACTTCTAGAAATCCAAAAAGAGAAACTTAGATGTGGACAAAGATGTTTCTTCCTATCTTTTTTTAAAAGCAAAAATTATAAACACTATTAATTAGGAGCTCTGGTGGCCTAGTGGGTAGGGAGTTCTGCTGCCAATCTAAAGACATGTGAGTTTGCTCACTTCAGCTGCTTCAAGGGAGAAAGAGGAACAATCTCTTTTTCTGTGATTTACAGCCTCTAAAAACCCACCAGAGGATCAGCTCTGAGTCCCTGACTATTAATTGTGTAGTAAGTCCTAATGAGTGTGCTGCTAAGCCTGTCATCATCCCACTGTGACTCAGAAGATTCGAGGGTGGGAGGTCTTGCTGGCAGCTCCACTGGAAATTCCCATATTGTTCACATTGAGCCTGGCGCAGCTCAGTAAATCACAGCCCCTCACTGTCCCTCCCCACACTGGCATCCAAGCCTCCCCCTCCTTTATTTTCTATGTGGGCAAATGGCATCACCTCTAATCCAGTTATCCCAAACCTGACTTATCTCTTTCTCCAAAACTTTTCCCCAAACTGTATCCATTCTCTTCAAGGCCCCTGGCATCATTCTCAAGGCCACTGGGCAGCTATGTTTAAAGACAGGAATGAATCCCTGCAGAAAGGAGCCAGATGAATGAAGAACAGCTTTGTGGGAGATGAGGGTGGAGAAAGGGCTGGGTGGGTCAGGGTTAACCAAGGTATAAAGCTTAGAAAGATGGTACTGGAGGGTCTGTAAAGGAGGGTAGTGACAAAGCTTGATGCATTGACCTCCCTCTGTACTCTATTACTTTGGATTGAGCAATGACCAATCTTAAAGAGCTCTGGTGGCTTAGTGGTAAAGAAATGACCTGCCAACCCAAAGGCATGCAGTTTGAATACAACAGCTATTCTGTGGGAGGAAAATGGGCAACCAACTCCTATATGATTTACTGTTTCTGAAAACACACTGGAGGAACAGCTATGAGTTGGTTTCAACTCAATGGTACACAACAACAACAACAACATTCTGAGTAGCACTTCCTCTTCGTAGAAAAGAAGTCCTCAGGAGAAAAGGTCTTGCCATTGCTCGCTGGTTCTCAGTGCCAAGTGCAGAGGCTCATTATCGTTACATAAGGAAAAAAAGCTCAGTGATCAAAAAGAGAAAAACAGTCCATCTCACCTCCTGCCCCCAATCTAAAGGGCCATCTAATTGCAGTTGTTAGGACTACGACTCACAGCAACCCTGTGAACAACAGATGGAAGCCTTGCCCTATCCTGTGCCATCTCATGAGCTCTACCACGCTCCGAACCATTTAGATAACGGTGTAATCAGTTGCTGGAGAAATCTTTTCTTTCATTCATCTTGAATTTTCACTGGCCCCGTCCTCTTGTGCAGCCTCCACTACCTTCTGATGCTTTAGGCCCTCAAGAAGCTCCAGTGATCTAATTTATACCTACATTTGAGTGTGTTGATTGAACTCCCATTTAAGGACATGTACCAGGTTCTGTGCCAGGCAAAGGGAATGGAAATGTGTCTAGACTATGTGCAGCCTTCAAGGGCAGGCAGCTTCAACAATCATAATATCCAGCGAAAAGTTTAAAACAG